CCAAACCATTCTTTGATTCTATGATTCTAAGTTTCCCTAAACAGGGGTATGGTTTCTATTTGCATTAGGATACAGGCTTCACTGAGCAGATAAAAATGCTGTAAGATAGTCCTTGTGGCAGTTGCATGGTCATTTGACAGAGAGAAATACAGAAAAAAAAATCAGATAAGAGTTGACTTTGAAGTGGTGCAGATCAACCAGTCAGAAGCCTGATAGGATGCTACAGAAATTCCATCTTTTGGAAAAACAAGTGAATAATGAGAAATGAACTGGGCTCCCTTTGTTACTGGAGAGGCATTATCAGCCAGCCACGACACCCTGACACCATGGGGAAAATGACCTCTAGTAGCACAAAATGTGAGATGATGAAGTTTTACTGAGCTGCCATCAGATACTGGGGTGCACAAAAGTAGACAGACCAAGAGAAAATTTCATAACTGATAGCTCACAGATGCAGACACCAAATACATAACAATCTCTAAAAACAGAACTATTTATGTCCTGTCTCCACCTTGAAGGTACTGGAATTAATAGTAAAAGTTCACTTAAATCTTCACCACATGGAACAGCTTCTGAAGGACATTTACAATGTACTATAAGACTTTAAACTACATTTGTTATCTATAGGAGTAATACAGCATTACCAAATCACAAATTGGATCTCCATATTCGTAATGCTCATAGAACTTAAGAATACAAGAAAAGTTTTATAAAATTCTATATCTTCAGTTATTTCAAAACATATTCTTTCTTCTAGTACACTTAAGATTGAACTAAACAGCATCAAATCCTTATCCTGAGGTGCTTTAAAAAAATTAAAATTCTTTGAACATGAGACAGAAATCACATGAATCAGTTTGGGAGAGTATAAACAACCATCTGCAAAACAAATAGCTATTTTTCTGAAAATTAAGTTCTTAACAATGTAAGAGCCAGCATAACAACACAATTATTTTCAGAAACGTAGCACAAACTCAGAGGAATCAGCTGTCAGAATGTATACTTAATTTAAAAAGGGTAACTTCAGAGGTCTCAAATATTTATGCAGTGAGACTCTGGAGTTCTGATTTTGACAGTTGTACAAAGGTCATCATCACACTATGCAACATGTAATCGTTTTTAAAAGTAATCTCTTCCTCTGAATTTAATTTGATGTAATTATTATTTTTGAAGCTTAGAGGTTTTTGTGGGGTGGCTTTTTTTCCCTTTTCCCAGTGACATCTACAAAAGCAAGTTTCAGATAACTGTGCTATGGGCAATTTACAGGCTAAAGTAATTTAAAAAAATGCTCAAAGACCATCTCTAAACAATAGCACAACAGTCTGCTTCAACAATTTGAAGATGCTTCTGTGCAATCATGATTACGTATTTGTACGTCAGTGTTCTCTACTATTCTGAAAGACTGACATAAATGACCAAAAAAAAGTTACATTTTGTTGCTTCAAAGCTCTGGTTAAAAATACCAAAGAACCTATTCACTGGAGGAACACCCCTGCATGAGATGCTCCCTACATAATCAGTCTTGAGACTGTTTACATTATTCTTACCTGTTCATCAACATAATCATCTATTCTTTTCTGGCATTCAAGCCATGCTTCAGCAACTTGACCCATTTCCTGTTCCAGCTGATGATACCTTTGTAGCAAGGTACTATACATATCTTCACTACAGGAATCATGTGTTGTTCCAAGCCTAAAAGTTCAAATAGCACTTGTTAGAAAAGAGATATTTCACTGAAAAATCACGCTTTTAAGTTCCGCCAGCCAAAAGTGTGTTGTTAAAGTGCAGTTATTGATACACCTAGGCCCACATAGCTTCTTGTATCCCAAAATTCAGTATTTTTAGTCATTTTTCAAAAGCATCCAACAACTGCTTGTTCCAATGTTCTGTAACCAACAATAGCAAGAATGTGGGAAGTGTAACATTTCTAGAGCCTCTTTCCCATGAGCAACCAGATGTCAAACCTACTGAGCTGTATTTACTCAAATTTTGTTGCTTGATATATTTACCCTTCCAAATTCTGTGGGCTAGATATACATGTTGACTATTTACTGAAGAGCTATATAGTAAAAATAAAGTCAGAATCTTGTTAATCAGAATTCTCATGATCAATGCTAAAAAGATTACTAGACGAGTTGGAGTTCCAGCTGGGAAAAGTGCTACAGAATGAGGCGAGTGAGACGATTTGGTTGCATGCAGTTATCTACTATTACTCAAACAGCATCAAGTTCAAAATGTGGTTATGCCATTCACTGATGACTGTCTCTGTAAAGAGCCCCACAAATAGGAGACACATTCACCTTCTTTTCTACTATTACATTTTTGTACAGCAAATTCCTTAAAAAAATGATTAGAGCACATCCTCACAATGATTCTTAAGTAAATAAGCAAACTCACGAAATCTTGATTTCAGAAATTAGTAGAGACAAAATTATATTGAAAAATGTGTGTTTAAAGCACATTGAATTGTAATGACCTGTAAATTGACACAAATAAACTGATGCTTTTAAACATTCTGCTACTCTGATGCTTTTAAATATTCTGCTACTCAGTAATTAAAAGGAAACTGGTTGGCAGTTAATTTAGGCACAGAGTTTGCACGGTCAGTCAAAGCCAGTAGGAAAAACAAAATTCAAGCATCTCAAAACTTGACATTTAGCCCAGTTCAAGCATTTCAGGGAGGTTTTGGATTTCCATTGCAACAGGATGCTAACCCAACCTAAGAATTACATAGTCCTGCCTATCATCTGGCAAAGAACTGAGCCCTTAATTTTAACATGGCAATTAAGCATAATGAAGAGCTAAGCAAACAGACAACACAGTAAAGCATTAAATTACAGCTGTTAGCATAACTTTGCCAATAAATTCAAGTTTGTTTTATTTTGTTGGTTTTGCCCAGAACCTGTAACACAACCACTTTAGAAGGGTGCATGAGCAATTCTGCACATTACAAACTTGGGAAGCCCATGCTTGGTAGAGTACCAAAAGCATTTTAAATGGATACGGTGACCTTAGGATACAACAGCTCCTCACTATCAGTGCAAACACTAATTCCTGTTACTAGATCACAATTTACTATTTATTCTTGAACCCTGTGTTTCTGGTATTACGCAACTATGTGAAATTATGATCTTTACTGTACAGAAGTCAAGAATTTGTTCTCATAACTGCTGCTTAGTAGAACTGTGAACAAAATCTTTTTTAAATACATGCCCGTGTTAAGAAGGAAAAGAACTTTATTTTTAAAAAATTAAATTAGCAATGCAACAGCATTACCATTTGCAATTTTTATTGTGACTTTTGAGTAAAGCTTAACACGCTACACTTTCACCACTTTTCAATTAAACACACTTCCATCACCCCCAAGGCAAGTATAAAGCAACAATCAAAGTAATATTTCAGTCCTGTAAAGGGAAGTGAAATGTATTCCTGGACTGCAGGAAAAAAAGTAATAAAAAGCATCATACATAACATAAAACTTAACAAGAACTGCTTACTTTACAGTAACTGATTCTTCCAAGGCATACCTGTTGACATAGATCCTACTGTTTGCCTTCATATCTTGATTAGGAATCCAGAATTTTTTGGCCAACCACATTTAACTGAAGCTGTTTGTATACCCTGAACACTGTCCCATCCCACAAAGGGAAAGCAAAGAGGGCAGAAAAGCCCACGGTATCAGTCAGTTCTATCATTATCAAACCCCAATAAAGCAGTCCATTGAATGTAGGAGGCGAGTGTACCACTGGTTGCATGTAATCAAAAGCCAAGTAAGATATTTAACTAAGAAACCTTTCATGCAGACACTTCCATCAGGAAGTACTAGTCAGTCACCTGCGAAAGGTCAGTGACTGGATTTCCTTAAATACTGATTATGAAAATGCAGCTTTATGAAATGCTGTGTCTGATCTAGAAGCTCTGCTGATTAATTAACTCCTGATAAGCACATAGACAGTTCTTACTGATGGTCTGCAGATAGTACAACTGAGTGTGCCTCCTAAACAAACCAGAGGTGTTGACTTGGTAGCAGCGTAAGATGAAACACATTAATACCCTGGTAGTTCACCCTGAGTAGATGACCAGTCCTGTGAAATACTAACACAGCTGATCTCCTGTCAGCTAGTAACCTCCATTCTCACAAGACTGCTATGTTTAAACATCCCTAAGGGAACATCTTGTCTCATCTGACATCTGATGAGCATCCTTGGAACTAATCACAGCACATCAACTATATATTCTGAAAAAGCCAGAGATACACAAATATTTAGTGAGATTTAGTATAAAAAGTGGATGAGTGAAAGGGTGAACATCCAAAAATCCAAGTGAAGCCGATATGCCAAAATGCCATTTCACATTTCTTCTTCAGGAAGAGAAAACAACGTTCTTTTGTAAAGGAACTCTGGCAACATCATCTCTACTGCATGCAAATGATTCTCTACTGATCAAGTGATCAGGCAACTAGGCTGATCCCTGCTTCTCCATGTGACGCCTCTCTCATGGAACATTCCTCCATCAATTCCCACTGGAAGGCACATTATCCTCCAGAAAAATTTGTCAAGGAAGGCTACCTAATTTTCTTATTTCAAGGCCCACAGAACTCAGCAGTAAAATCCTGGGAGTCCATAAAAACAGAGACAATCTATGTTTACCAAAGAAAAACAAGACATATACTGCATAAACTAGAAACCATAGAACAGGAAGCTCGTGCTGAACCTCTCCTTTCAAAAAGGTTAACGAGAATCAATCTAGGCAAAACCAGTTTATGTGAAACACCCTTAAAGCTATCTAGGAAACACAGATGTACTGGGAAAGAAATTCCTGCAGGAAGAGATTCTGACTTCATCACATTTAAGCCTTGAAGGTAGCTGTCACTACAGTGAAGTCCTGCACAGAAACACCTTCAGCTGCTCAGACTTTTAATTGCAGTAGCACTTAAGAACAACAGGTAAATGGAAACAACCCAATGATTTTGTCAAGAAATGACCATAAGCTTCACTAAGACCATTCCCATCTCTGCAGATGAAGGCAAACAGATTTGATACAGCCAGGATTGCTGATTAAAAGATGCAGAGAAGCCTTGTCAGAAAGCATGGAGATGACTGAGTGATACAGTGACAGTGGTACTGGGAAGTCAAACAGAGATCCCAGGGAAAACAAGTGATTGAACAACGTACTATTGAACACAGCAACAGAATTATCTGCTGGGGGCAGGGGGCACTTTGTTCCTTTTGCTTTCGCCAATGAGAACATTGCTTAAAACTCCAGATTAAGTTATTTGTGCACTGTGGGAAGTGTGAAGGCATTGATGCTTTAATTTGCTTCTAGAGTTGTAAAGACATTAGCAATACCTGATGACAAGTGAAAACAGTACTATTCAGTCATGCCATCAGCATTTCCATAGGATGCTGTCATTTTACTAGGTAACCTACAAGCAGACAGATTAGGGTAGTAATTCTGACAAGCAGGTTATGACAGCAGCCTGCTCAATCAACAATACTATTTTCAAGACAGATCAACAAGGATTTTTACCTATTAAACTGCAGAAGCAGCACAGATTTTTTTTTTTTGTAGACACAAACATGGCTTTTGATTTCTCCTTTAAATTACAAAAGAAAAGTTAAACTCTACCTTAGCTGTGACACCAATGTTGGCAAGCTATTCTGCAGGAGTGGCTCAGAAAACACCAGGTTTTCAAACAGATGCTTATTGTGCAATTCCCATGTCACCTGAAATTTCTTCAAATGTTCATTTTCCTGTAATGAAAAAGACAACCAGAAATAAGCCAGGGTTGGGGGGTGGAGTGGGGTTTCTGTCTGATGCAAGAATTTTTTTTAATCCAGCTTCCAACCTACAGGTTAGATTATCCAGCTCAGATTTTACCCAGTTTTAATCCCCAAACCCTCAGAATTTAAGTAACTCATTAATGATTTAAATAACCATAGCTTCATTCATTGTTTTTGTAAATTGTCATGGATTAGGAAAAAAAAAAAGAAAAATCAGACTGTTGTTGAAAGTCTCCACTCATTTCTGCACTGAAAGATGTCTTTTATGATCTGAACTAGTTATTCTCAAGTTTTCTTGTCAAAAAATTGTCTACCTCTGATTATTTTTCAGTTCTTTGAACATATCTAGTATTAGACTCTTATATGATGGCAAGCTATAATCTTTATTCAAAACTGACATAAATCAAGTAAACAGTTCTCTCCAGGTATAGCTTCAAAAATGAAGTTTTCTAAATAGACAAGAGACCAACTGCTTACTTCTCTAGTAAAGCAGAATGTTTTTCTATTTGAGGTTATTACTTATATTTATTATTATAAAAACATAAAAATCAAATACAGGTGTGATATCTCTCCAAGTCAGTAAGTCTTCCCACATTCAGCCAGCAGTACATGGGTTTGCTTTACCAGGACTCTCACACAAAGCAAAATTAAATGCAAGCGTTCTGGCTACCCGATCAGCAAGTGAGTCCTATGCACTATAACCTCGAGTACCCAGAAATACCAGAATACTCTAGAATTTCAAAGTTTTGTTAAGCATAGTGGGTTTAAAAACAAATACTTATTTATATCAGATCTAAACATGGGACTATCAGTATTAAAAAAAAAGTTTGGAGTTTTGTTATTATTTAATAATAATTTATTAAATTATCATTTATTAATAAAATTTATTATTATTTAATAATAACAAAACTCCAAAAGAGTGAGTGACTTTTTCCTGAGGTGCACAAGACACATATACCATTTCACTTTGAATGTTATGTTTTTAAAATATTTAAAATTTCTATAATTCGCTAGTAATTTCTTCAGAGTCAACACTGAGAAAGGTTGGTTTCCTAAGCAATTTCCATATTATTCTGTGAACAAAATAGTCAACACCCATCTACAAAAACTTGTGCAGAGTATGATATTTCTCACAAAGAAATACCAAGTAATTTTCCCTTCTAGTCTGCTATACTGCATACTCGAGGGCTCTTCTGCACTGACCACAGTCTTTCCAGCTTGCTCTCAGTACAATCTGTCATTCCCTGGTGGGGCACAAGGCTCTACTTCCTGCTCTTGAACTTCACTAGTTAGTGGGATTCCTTTGAAAGGAGGACAACTGTTCACAATTTCACTGAGAAATTAGTTCCTCATAGGTGGAGGTTCAAGGCATTATATGCCTTCGTACAGCATGCTACGCGCAAAGATTTTTACCTTTAAAAGAAATGCTGCACTAAAGTTCAGAGATCTTGACTGCCTTTTATGTAGTTCAGCTGAAAAGATTCCTTCTTCCACAGTGCACTGGTATCTTGAAAGAAAACAACCAGGCACACTGAAAAGGCTAGTGACCCCAGTGCCTGTACTGAAAGCTGTGACATACCACTCCATTTAATAAAAAGGTTATTTAATAAATCTAAGAAATGTATGACAAGGGACAGTATCCTACATTCTCACATTTTGGTTTCTGAATGTCACAGCTTAGTAGAAACATGTTTTCAGTACTTACTGGGCTGCGGAAGGAAAAGGACAAAAGTCTGGGGTATTTTGTGTTTTGTTTTGTTTTTTTTTGTTGTTCTTTTTTAGAGAGAATAGGAATTTTATTTTACCTTTAATTTTGTTAGAAAAGGGGTAGATTAGGGAGTTCAAGCATCTTCTGTCTCTCCATGGCCATTATCTCAACCTCTCATACCTATTAAGTTTTCATGATTACTAGTTCACAATAATAAATGAAGCAAAGAAACATTAAAAATTATTTATCAGATATGTAATTCTAGCAATAATGGGTTCATTATCAGCGCATCTACTTTGAGAACGCTAACTTTTGTACTGTAATCCATCTGCTTTCCAGCTGAACAAATTTCTAAATACCAATGCAAATCAACAGGAAGAGCAATCTTCTCTCAAGCACCTTGTTAGAGACTTGCTGGTTATTAAACTGGAGATGGCAGTGACCTCACGACTGTGTCTAAGTGATAAAACTGGGGAAGACAATACAGACAAGAGCAAATACAGAACATTGACAACAGAAAAAAGCACCAGATATGCTTAAGTTTCCTAAAAGAAGCATCCTTGTGCTTCAATTTTATTAACAGTCCTACCTCAGCAATGACACTCTGCTTCCCCTTCATTTTATATCCTCCCCACCCCTGGCCATCATAGTCTTGTTACTGCCTATTCTTTTCCTCTCTTTATATACTTAATCACTTTTAGCTAACTGGCAATAAACCCCAAATTTACCAGTTTATTCCCTTTTTATTTGAGCAAAATTTACACAAGAAGAGAGATACACAGGATAAGGATGTTAGTAAAGGATGTACAGGGAAGGATTATTAACAAAACAGGACTAACAATAACCTTCTCGGCCCTTAAACAAATAGAATTACAGAATTTGTTTACTGTATTACTCATTCATGATGGACAGTTACTCAATAAGAGATTTGTAAGGCCATTGCTTATTTTCTACCTGACAATATAATCCCAAGTCTAGCATCACAATCAGTTGACAAAACAAGCATTTAAGAATGAACAAGAACTTAAGAAATAATAAACAACATAGCAGATTAATTCCAAAGCAAGAGATCATCTTTCCAAGTACCCGTTCTTGCTTAAGGGAAAAGAAAAATTGAGCACTGGAACAATCTAAGTTAGTGCTACCCATAAAAGTTTATGTCCTTTAAACACGGCTGTTAAGAGACCATTAAAGATTAACAGAGAACTGCTCCACATATTTTCAAAGGCATTATCAAAAATTTTGTAGATATGTTTTAAAGGTTAGTTTCAGAACAAGCAGCATCCCACCTTTTTCTTTACACACAAAAGGTTATTTCATCAATCACTGCAAGATATGTCTAATCTACATTTCTGAAGAACTAAATTTGCATTTTCAGAATATCCCTGCTTCCAAGCACACACACACAAAAACCCTCACATTTTGCAAACCACAGAAGACACCTGAAAGAGCCCAGCACAGCTCTGCTGGCATTACCCCTAGCAAGTACATCGGTTATTTTTTCAGTCTTACCAGAGTAACTAGAAAGGCGCTGATTGTACACGCTGCCTGACAGAGTGCACTGTATTCTTCAAGTAGGAGTGAGATGAACTGATGTGCCTGTGGTGGCCCTTGTATTGCTAATGTTGATGCAACTTTAGATCCCAGTGACAAGTGTCTGAGCAGACGAACCTTCATTTCAAGCACATATTCTCTAGCTTGCTGTTCCAACCGTTGGTAAAGCTGATATGGATCCCTTTCACAAAGCCTGTATTTTTAGAGTATTTGTGACAAAAAAAAAAATAAATCATCAATTTTAACTTTTAAAAAATATTTACTAGTTACCATCATCATCGTCAAACAGTAGGTAGGGTTTGCAGAACTACCTTAAATCTGGGCAAACACACTCCAGTTCCCTATTTTTACACTGTGGAACTGAGCTCCTGTGTCGCTTTAGAATGCTTGCACATCTTAGGAACAAGTTAATTTAGTGTTTCACTATTTTACTTCAACTTGCGAGCTAAAAAACCTTTATTCAATTTGCATACAACCCTAGAGACACTTAGACTCTTCATACAAACTTCTTTACAACTTCTCCATGTTCTTACATACCGCCCTAATAAATACCTCAGCTGTAAAGCCAGACCTAGGCCTGGTTAATATCCGGTAGAAGGACAGGCATTTACTTCAAGCCACTGAAGGAGCTGACCTGTTAGGCAGCCAGAACATATCTGAATACATACAAACCAGAAGGGACTTGGTGACTGCTTTGGGGGACCCTCCTGTTGTTGAGTTGAACTGAAAGATGACATTACATACAGTTACCAAGCTTTTAAGACACTCATTCATGGAACTCATTCATGAAACTCCTTCTCACCTTCATTGAGAGTTTCTTGCCCCAAGCCACAGACCTTCTGTACAAGGACATTTTTTTCACCTTTTATTAAAGCTCTGCCACTGTATAGCAGAGATGTGTGATTCACAACGCCACAAAGAATGTCATTCAAGGAACATGACTTAGGGCACTCCACTATGGTAGCACCTAATCTGCAGTCATTACATATTTTGGAGGGGTTTTTCATGGTTTGTTTTGTTGGGGTTTTTTGTTTGCTTTTGGGGCACTCCACTATGGTAGCACCTAATCTGCAATCATTACAGATTTGGAGAGTTTTTTTGTGGTTTGTTTGTTTTGTTGGGTGGTTTTGTTTGTTTTTGTTTTTTATATCTAAAGTAGGGACAAGAATCTGGGACTCATTTGTCCCAGGGAAGCACACTAATACTGAAGCTCCAGAACCATACTGCCCTCCAAGCATTCTATTCACTTAATACCTACAAGACTTGTCACTGTAAGACACAGCTTCAAAGAGGGTCAGGGCTTCCTGCTAAGGACAGCATACAGCTGGCTAGTCTGATACTCTCCTGAAGTGAGACATGGGTTTGAACTATCTCACCCAGAAGAAATTGAACATGATGGCTACTTTGAAGCACTTTAGAGTGAAATTGTACCATTTAAAGTCCTGTGCATGGAGTTTAAGCACTTGCCTCAGATTTTTTTATAGTACAGGGAGGTGTGCAAGAAGAAAAGGATTAGAGAAGTACTTAAGAGTTCGGGGAAAAGTCTGCTGCTATCTAGTCCCTGCTCTTCCCTCCTCACTCACGAAGTAGAGTACTATTGTATTGTCACGAAGTGCTCCAACATACAACATACAATAGGGACAGTACTTGGCACCACTACTTATTTTCAAGTAAGACAACGAGACAGTCCATTTCTTGCCAACTGTGTCTAACAGAGAGCCAAGCATGGAATTAGGAATTTCTGCCTTTTAAACATAGATTTACATGGCCACAGCAGGATGTCTGGCATGCTACCTACATGGCTTGGGGTTTTTTTTGTTTTGTTTTTACACTTTCAATATCTACACTGACTAGCTTTGTTAAAAAATTTTGCATGACATTAGCACCATGGACTGGACACACTGGTGTCTGCTCAAACACAGTATCCTTATTTTATTTCATACTCTGAAGACCATAAGGAACTTGAGTGAAAAATAATCACCTTGACATTTAAAGTTTCCTGCTTTGAAATCTTGTTTCTGCCTTTGTGTTTTAATAATCTCTCTCAAAAGTGATGAACAGTTCTAGAGAAATCAAAGCTCCTAAGTACAAAAGAAAGGTATACACCACACGTGTTCCAATTTCCAAATTTTTTCCATTAAAGAGAAACTGCATAAAAATTCAACAACCATTTTAGCTGTGATTCAGTTTTAATTACCTACACACCATGCAACATTTAAGCATCTTTGACTTCAAAACCTACGTTGCATGTTTCGATCCCTTAAATAAACAAAGGGTGACTAACAGAGAGGCATACTATGTACTCTGCTTTTACACAACTCATGTTCAAAACCAAACACTCAGATTTTATATAAAAAAAGTGCAACAAGCTTCCTTAGTTATCTATTAAGGCTGATTCAGGAGTGTAGTCATATAAAGAGCAATGCTAGATGACTATAATCTTTCAGAAGTTTCTTTAGAATTTAGCTTCTACTACAAGCTCCACAGAAGAACTATAGTTTGTCAGACTAGTCAGACCTTAGAACATTAAGTACGTACAAAACCAAGCAGAGCAACTATTCCTTGACCACACATTCAGTTAGACAGAAACTGAGATGAACCTTCCGGAATGGTGTGGCTTTATGGACAGCCACACTATTCTCAAAGGAGAAAACCCACAACTGAGGGTCTCATTAAGCACATCTTCAATTTCTCACCTAGAAAAGCTACAGTTTCAGCTTCTGAAACGAGAAAGAAGTTCTCAGAATCCACCTCATCTGGTGATCAATGGCCAATGTTACCTTTTGTTTGTTTGTTTTGATGTCACTCCTAGCTGTTACAGCTACAGTAAGATAAAAGCACTATTATAACTAAGGTTAGTTTGGCAAGGTAAGATTTTCATGTGGGGCAATTCAAACTAAACAGTGTCTTATTAACAATAATCATCTTAATATATTTGAAGTATAAGATTTTAGGATCCTTTCATAATTATATATTAATATTCCTATTGCAAACAGCACACAATTTAATAGCTTCCCATGCATTCAATCTAGCATTTAAAAATCTTACATGAAATAGGATTGACTTTTCGTTCCAGCGGAGAGGCAATCATTCCAAGCAACCCGACTTATAGATGCTAAATAACATTTTATTAAAAAGTAATATTCCAAACTACTTCAAAACCAATTCTAAAAGTCTTCTTCGCAATTAATAAATATTTTTTAAAGTGCTGTACCTATCCACCAGCTCTTTCATTCCTTCTTTATCTGGTACCAAAGACTGGTCTTGGTCATCTGCCAAAGGGGTCCCAGCTTGGCGATATATACACCGAACCATGTATCTTACTTCTGACCAGTAATTTTGAAGCTGTTGAGGTTCACGTTCAGGTTCTGCTGAATTTTCTCTGCAAATAATGACAAAAATAATTACTGCCTATTTGTACATTGCATAAATGTATTGATTCCTACTATTCTGAAGATGCTCTTCAGGAAAAACAATGTACATCTGAAAATGCTGGTGCAGTCAACGTGCCAGAGAGATGCGATGCCATCCAGAGGGACCTGGACAGGCTGGAGAAGTGGGGCCAGGTGAACCTCATGAGATTCAACAAGGCCAGGTGCACAGTCCTGCGCCTGGGTGGTCACAATCCTTGTTATCCATACAGGCTAGGAGATGATGTGCTGATAAGCAGCCCTGAGGAAAAGGATTTGGGATTAATAGTGGATGAAAAGCTGGACATGAGCCAGCAATGTGCGCTCACAGTCCAGAAGGCCAACTGCATCCTGGGCTGCATCAAAAGAAGCGTGGCCAGCAGGTTGAGGGAAGTGATTCTACCCCTCTACTCTGCTCTGGTGAGACCTCACCTGGAGTACTGTGTCCAGTTCTGGAGCCCTCAACGTAAGAAGGAGGTGTACCTGTTGGAGTGTGTCCAGAGGAGGCCACAAAAATGATCAAAGGGCTGAAGCACCTCTCCTACGAGGACAGGCTGAGAGAGTTGGGGCTGTTCAGCCTGAGGGAGAGAAGGCTCTGGGGGGGACCTTATAGTCACCTTCCAGTACCTGAAAGGTGCTTACAAGAAAGGTGGGGAAGAACTGTTCACAGGTCACGTAGCAATAGGATGAGGGGTAATGGTTTTAAACTAGAAAAGGGTAGATTTAGGTTGGATATTAGGAAAAGGTTCCTCAATATGAGGGTGGTAGATCACTGGAACAGGTTGCCCAGAGAGGTAGTGGAGGCCCCATCCCTGGAGATATTCAAGATCAGGCTTCATGGGGCTCTGAGCAACCTGTTCTAGTAAAGATGTCCCTGCTCACTGCAGGGGGCTTGGACTAGATGAGCTTTGAAGGTCCCTTCCATCCCAAACCATTCTATGATTCTATGAAAGTACAGAATTGGATAAAAGTTGCCATCCATAAATAACTGTTATTGTGAGAGAGACCATTTAAAGAGTTTAAGCATACACCAATAAATAAACTACAACACTGCTGACAGCCTGACTACAGGCACCATGCTGCTGAATTTGAATTCAGTTCTTACCTGCGCTCATTACAGGCCTCACAGTTGCACGCTATGTCTGAAGGAGAGGAATTGCTAAGATCTGCAGCAGGCACTGTCTGTGCACCAACAGTTATTCTTCCTCCTCCTACAGATTCCTGTTTTGCTGTGATCCACTGTTTCCAAGAGGCATGTGCAAAAGGAAGTCTTGGCTCTGAAAGGCAAAAGCACAGGTAGCCTTCAGTTTGTAAGGCAGAAGTCTGAAATGTTAACAGGTAGGCAAATATTAAGGTGGGAATTCTTAGTGCTGAATGTATTTTGGGAGGACACTCAACCAAGCACAAAGAATTTACCTTCAAAAAGCCTAATAAAGAGATGAACTGAGAAAGTAAGTGAGAGAAATAGAGTTTCATTTCTAATAATCAAACTATGTTGGTTGTAATTATGTACACCTTCATGTACTCCAGCATAAACAATGAACTAAAGGAAGGCTTGCATCATCCATGATTAATCATAAACTGGTAATATCTCTTCAGTCTCTATTTGACTGTGTGTTTGACTTTTGTAGTTCAATAATGCCTTCTAGCAAAAAGCATAAAATCTCCTTTATAACAGCCAGACATAGTACTTCACAGTAATGGATGTTGGAAAGCTGCTGTCACTGGGAATGGTGCTATCTCCTGTGTTCAGTGCTGTACAGTGTCTGTAGCAGATGACAAATCTCTCTCCCAAGGCTGCTCATATTTTGGTCTCCAGTTTCTCTCCCTTTTCTGTGCTCCACGCCCAGTATATACCATGATTCCCTCCTGCAGCCTCCCCAGGTTGCTACCAGCTTTCTGTGGCACCAGGCAGAGACCTCTCCCATGTGAGAAGCACCACTGAAGGGTTTTTTTTGTGCTTCACCACAGATCCTGGAGTAGATGCAGATTACAGGCCAAAACAAACCTGCATGCTTTTGATGCAAACAGCAAGACTTGCTACTGGGGATGGTGCTGAGGCAAACCAAGCTAGGTAATGAGAGCAACAGCAACCTGAACACACGAGCATCTACTGCAAACCACTTCTACCCTGGCTTGCAGGGACTAGTAACAGGTTTTTGGGTTTTTTAGCTCATTTTGTATTTTTTCCCCAGCTGTTTTCTCTAACTTGACTAGCCAACTAATCCATTTAGTTGCTTTTTTTAAAGTCAAGTTTCCCAACTTGGAAAATCCTTTTGCCATTTGCTTTCAAAAATTTCTCTTAAAATAAGAAAACAGTAAAAAAAAAGTTGCCAAAAAAAAAAAAAAAAAAAAAAAAAAAAAAAAACAACAAAACAACCCCCCCCCAAAAAAAAAACCTGTCAATTTTTATTTTACCTACAGTATCTGTAAACTAACAAAACATTTAGGAAGCAAATCCTGCCTTCCTTACACTTGTAGGACATTTATTTTCTTTACTAGTTCATTAAACAGAGCTTAAATATTTAAAAAATTTTGACTCAACTGAACAATTATGTGCTTCAGTCTTGCTGTGCTTTGAACTCTCCAGGATGTGTTCACCATCAGACTACGAGTATAATTCCCTTAGATGTAATCTCTTTTGATTAATTTTACTAACCCTTGTTAAAAGGAAGAATATCAGTAAACACTAGTTGTATACAAGCGATATACTCAAGTTTTCCTTACAAAAAACTATGTTAACTGTGCTTTTAACATGAGTTTAACAACATATGCTACACAAAGACTGTATTTCTTCACACTGTTTACTGAAACAAAAATCTGTATCTGCCTATGGGCATGTGCAGAGTCTGTCAGCTCTCTACACGGACATGTCAGCTGGAATCTATAACGCCTGCAATTATTGGAGGTGTGGGGCTTCCCAGCTCAGTTGTGAAGACTTGGTTCTGCAGTATAGAATCAAAGTTTACTTCTAACGGGGTTGTGCTGGACCTGTCACTGAACTTTTTCTATCCTTCTGCTACATTCAGCATAGCTCTTGAGTGAGGTTGAATTCTCATTTGAAAGTGTATTTTAACACTTAATTTAGAAAATAATCACAACTTTAAATATTAGCACCATGTATTAAATCAGTGTTTGCAGTGCTATAACAAAGAATGACAAATTGTTATGTGCATACTGTGCAAATTTGTGCTTCTTTATTAAAAAAATACAGGAAAGACAACAAAACTCAGAGATAAGCAGGAAGGTGGCAGCGCAAGTGCAGTGACTCAAGAACACAACTGAAAGAACAAGGAAAATTCAGATAGTTTACCTCACAAAAGGGTGAAAGTACATATGAACAGACGGAGAACAGAAAGAAGTGCAATGGTTAAAGTCGCATAGTTAAAAGTAGAAGAAACAGAAATTAAGTAAAGGAGGAAATGACAAAGTATGAGACCCAATAAATTGAAAGGGCAAAAAACATCAACAAACAAATCCAAGCCTTTCTCTACTCAAAAATCCAAAACTCAGCATTAGAAGTCCTCATTTTTTGAACAACCTGTCTGTTCAGCTTAGCTCACAGAAAACCAATTCAAAATCTCCTAAAACACTTTCTAAGCATTTACAGCTTAAGTGGTTCCAAAGCACAAAGTAGCTTTCAGCCCTAGCCTACTGAACTGAAGTACTTCCACTTACCACAAGAGATTGCTCTATTGTAGCATGTCTCTCCTCCTTTTCGACTGTTCTTCGACAGTCTGGACACACCCACAGTGGAAGATGCAGCATATTGTTTGCTTTTGGAGATGTGGAAAGTGCTGTTTTGCTAGAATTTTTTATTCCGCTCTCTGAAAGCGAAGCGTCTTTGCGTTCACTTCTACAAAGAAGACAATGCTCGCCAGTTGTATATGGTGCCCTCTGGCCCAAGCCAAAGGTAAACGGTGTCTAGAAATACATGTTTTGATAGAGAACTGGTTATTCACAGAATACATACCAGAAAAAATTATCCTGAAATTTTTATAATACACACATATTTTAACAGTCAGCATTAAATGGTGAATATTTGGAGTGTCCCAAGATCAAACACAGCAGTGTTAATATCCACGTGGTAAACAATTCTGATTATGAATACACTCTCATCTAAAAAGTAATGTTTTCAGGGAGCATGGACTACAGTCTTCCCCTCTAAAATAATTCAGCCTAGATGCAATAATCTAGTAAGTAAAATAAAAAAGGGATAGTATAATTCCTTTTACTGTTGTCATCTTAGAGGTACTAACTGAAACAAAAACACTTCAAGCTGAGCTTGGTACAAAGTAAAAGCCTAACTCAGTTTTAACAGAACCCATCAGGAGCGTGTTAAAATCCACTCTCAGCTACTGAATGAAGCAGATTTGGTAATTTATGAGGACAGAGGCAGTTCAAAACTTACTTTCTTTTCCAAGATGCTACGGTGCATGAAATTATGGTTCAGCCATGAGATGCTAATTATTCACCAAGACTGATATTCAAAAACATGTCAAGCAGCACAAGCCAAACAGAACCCAACTTTACAAGAGATAAGCTAAGTTATAATGAATGGAACAAAACATCTTTTAATGGCAGAATCACAGATTTGTCTGATTATATTACAGCTATTAGCTCTGCCTTAATTAGCAGGAGCTTCTATGTAAGCCTCAAAACAGTTAAATTATTTCTCAAAGGAAAGGCAAAATTTAATTAAGTCATTCAAGCACTCCTCTAGATACTGCTCCATCCTCGACAGTAACAAAAATAGTGCTTTAAAGATCTGGTAGGGCTGAATTGCACAAGCCCAGGTGAAAAGTTTAGTGCAAAGGACCAGCTGAAGCTGTTACACGATTCACCAACTCTCTTCTTGTCTTCGCAGCAACAACAAATCAATTCCCTATCGCTAATATCTGGAGAAAAACAGCACAGCATCACAAACTCTGTTTTTTGTCTTCTTTGCATTTATAAAACTGACAGACTAAGCAATATGGAAAGAAAAACAGAAAAATCTAGACATTTAAAAAAAAAAAAAAAAAAAAAAAAAGACAGACTGAATTTATCTCCACAAGAATCTTCTTATCTTTCAGAAGTTCATGAGAAATTTAAGTGAATAGATTTAGTAAGAACAGATAATCTCTTTAATGTGCTGATGCCACTTGAAGAATTCACACCTAAGTACTATGGCAAGAAAAAGACCACAATTTCTCCATCCCCTTTTCAACCATCCCCTTACTGGCTCTACAAGCACTAACAGATTTCTCAAACTAGACATTCTTCTTGGCTGACCTGTGCTCAACTGCAGACCTTATTAATGCCTAAAAAACTCTGCATGCAGGAGGCCACAGCTGCTCATTCCCTTAGCCCTGAAAGCTTCCTGGTTAAAATATATTTCTGAAGACAGATTAAGTCTCTGTTGGAATGACAATGACATCTTTATAGCTATTGTAGGCAAATCCTTGTGAACATCATCTGCAGGACATCTTCCAACAAGTAGGAAAAGCAGAGGACAAAAATGTAAAAGTTCAGAAGTTAAACAACCTGATGCTTACTCTTTTGCAAAGGCAAGGGTCATGGCAAACATTTCCCAGCCATGCTACAAGGACTTCTAGGAGTTAGGACTTGTGTGTGTAATTTGCTTAAAGTTGTACCATGATCATCAAAAAAGCCATGGCAATCAGAGCAGGAACAACAATCTTAATTCTGGACAGTTCACAGACTCAGTAAAACCCTGACAATTTCCCAGCTGGGCCTGTACTTATGAGAGATGTGAAGTTTAAATGAAAGCAATTAGTTCCTAGAGCACAATGTAAATCAACTGCTAAGAATGAAAATTTCTAAGCAGTTTATTTCTAACAAAATTGGCAGAACCTTGACAAAAATCTAGACCATAAGCATCTCAGATTCCCCTTATGGCTCTGTCATACTAAAATGAAGCTACGAATTGAAGTTTCTTATTTATTTAAAAGATGAAGAATGCAGTGACTGTTCATTCAACCATTTCAACAGCAGCAGTGAACTCTTTGTGGATTAGATGAGCTTGGAATTAGGTCACATATACATCTGTATCTTCAGCGTAATCACAGCAAAGTGTACATTTTGGAATAAAGCAAGATATTTTTCAACTAGTCAAGCTTCAAAAAAAATGTGTGATGCATCTCTGCAAGAAAACACCCAGCCTCACTTTCTCTCTGAAACATGTTCAGTTATAACATTCATAAATGAAAGCTGGAAGTAGGACAAGCCAGAACAGAAATAACCGTATCTCTGCTATGTATTTAGATTTTATTTCCAAGAATATCTTTATTACCATAAAACGGCACAGCTTTTTTTTTTTTTCACATCTATGTCTAATTTCAAGCTTATTATAACAATAAAATTTTACTTTAGAAATAGTAGCATTCACTGTTTTTTAAAGCTTGAATAGTGAAGTCATGAGAAACTGACTTCAGTTAGCCAAGTCCCAATCTCAAACAGAAATATTTTTAAGAGTTCTCTAGTACATTTAATACCTTCTCCTGTTAGTAAATAATTCTGCTATCATATACACTCACAAAATTTGGCTGCACGTACCTGAGAAACACCTGTGAACTCTGATCCAACAGAACTGTCTGTAAACTGGGTACCATTTAGCGAAACCTGGAAAAAATTAATGGTACATTAGTTACAATAGTTGAGTTTAATGCTAAAAGAACATTAAAAAAATTAAACAACAAAACTTTCCCCTGCATCCGAGGGCTGGTAAAACAGCTTGTGAAACTTGAATGATTTGTTTGACTGCAGAGATGGAAAGCCTCTTTTCTTCTGTAATAAAAGTTCTACAGATGCAAAAGTTTACAGTTTATGTATTTTAAGCTTCTGCACTACAGCTATTTCATTAACAATGCAACTCTGAGATGAAATAATTGATACAGGAAAAAAGAAAAGTCATAAGCAAAACAATATTTTTCCTTCTGTATTTGATTGTTTGCATTTAGCTTTTAAACTTCTATTGTGAATTGAGACAATTACCAAAGATTTTTGCCTTTTGAAAGGAGAATACAATGCTGCTGCGAAAAATATGCAGTGTTAACCAGGAAGACTCTTCCACAGCAAGCCTCCAAATGGCATTCAGCTCTTCTGCTGCAGCAGCCTTTCTCCTGCCCCAGGTTATAATTCACACAGGAACCTCTCAGAGATCTCTTCCATACCTTGTTTCTCCACAAGTGTTACAGAGACTACACTAGATAACAATGAAGTGCCTTCCACAAGCTGCAAGCGTTTTCATACAGCACTATTTGAGGACTCTAACACAAGAGTAAAGTTAAGACAGCATGCAGATTCAGTTCAGTGACAATGAAGAGTCCTAGGTCATACTGACTTGAAGACATTTAATTTTTTAAAAAATAGCAAAGGGGAAATAAAGTAAGTAAATTATTTTATTCATTGTTTTTCTTCTTCTTGAGCACTGGTTTATCTCTTGAATTTCAGATATAATTTACCTCATGCCTCTGTTCCACCTTTCATATGTTTTTGCTAACCTCTTCTAGCTCTCCAGTTTTCCACCTGCTATTGCCTGATACTCCTATTTCTCAGACTACTCTAAAAACTGCAGTAAAACCCAGCCTGTTTAACGTACGAACCCCTACATCTTGTGTGTTGGATTTACAGAGTTCAGTAAATATTTTTACCCCGTTACCAAACCAGAAACTCAAACTGGAGCCTTCTCCAGTACGAAGGAGCGTCCTTCAGTCTTACACCTCTCGAGGATTACCGACTGCTCTGTTTACAGAGCCAGTGAGATTATTGCAAAGCCACTGTCTTCAGCTGGATTTTTCAAAGGCAAAGTAGAGGATAAAACACAATCTTCAAATCTTTGCTAGAGAAGATACAAATAAGAAGCCACACAACTTCACTCAGCATACTCTATGCTAACTTTCAAGAGCATGTAATTAAGAAAAAACCCTCATATGCAAGTCAAGCATCTCAGATCTAAAATCATCTCAGCATACTCTATGCTAACTTTCAAGAGCACGTAATGAACCCTCATATGCAAGTCAAGTATCTCAGATCTAAAATCACAACGAGGAACAAGTTCTCTATTTTTATTCAGCCACTTTCCAAAAAGTGGAAAAAATAAAAGTCTTTTGAATTAAAGAAAGTCCTCTTCACCAGGAAAAGAAATCCTCCAGTACTGGAGGTCCACCAGTTACTGGCACACATACACATTCAAGAACAAGGAAACCAGTAAGAAAGTTTAGAATGAAATTGCTACCTGCAGCTGAAAAAAATTTTTTTTGAGAAAATTAAAAAAGACAAGTTTATCCAAAACCATTACCTATTCACTGAGGGAGTACATTTACCTTCTTTACATTTGAGACAGTGTTGATAAGAAATGCATGAGTTGTCACATTTAGACACGCAAATGTCGAGTGACCAAGCTGAAGGCAGGCAGAAACGCTACAAAAGCAAAGACAAAAAACAGTGGGAGGTTTCTCTTATCCACCAAATGTCACAGGATGCCAAGACAAAACACTGAACATCAGGAGTGACTGCTTCATGGAAGGAGTTGTCATGCTGCTAACAAAAGAAAAGGCATCTCTTGATCCTAAGCACTCTGTAGAATTTGGTTCAAAATATTAGTGTAACCCCACCCAGAACATAGTAGTGACCTAAATACCTGCAGGAGGAACAAACACCAAGGACTTTAAAGAAAGGAAGTAGACAAGTACAAGGAAACTTAAAGAGAATAATAAAAAATTAAATGCCTATAGGCAATGAGATTTAAGACATTGTACGTGAAGCTCAGAGCAAATACAAAAATAACAAAAAGGACTTAAATCGGTGTGAATAACCACAGGACAGGCAAGGGAAGGGGATGGCTAAATAGCGTATTAGAGAAAACATCAGAGGAATCTTGAAGTAGTTGTCCAAATGGGGCTCAAACAATAGCAAGCTAAAAAGAGACAGAGGGAAAAAAATACAATGAGACAGTCTCACAAATAATTTAAGGAAGGGGGGGAAGGGGGGAAGAGTATAAAAACTATGAATGAATTATTTTCAAAGGCACAAGAGGAGCAAGGAGGAATAGGTAGCCTGTCAGGATCTGTAAGGCTAAAGCAAGTAAACAAATAGATGCATTTTAAGAATGCTCAAACAAGCTAAGGTCATGGCAGAAACACCACATTTATTTTTTGCATCTTTGTGTTCACTATGGAAGAGTTTAAAGGTGTTTTCCCAGTGAAAGTTGTCTTTATGGAACATGCACTAGACAGAATCACAGAACTGCCTAGATTGGAGAAGCCCTAGAGTCCAATCATTAACCAGACAATCTGTTTCAAGGCAAAAGCACTGCTAGAAAAAAAGGTATGAGCAAACGGACAGCTCAAAAATCAGCAAACCACCAAGAGGGGATGATATTCAGCCAAGAGTCCTAAAGAAGCTCAAGGACATCACAGTTGTGCTAATAATTTCTGTATGTCAATCCCTGCTTTACACTTCACCAGTACTCGAGCAGCAGAAGATTTTTTTAAAAAATATTTATTTATTAAGCTTTCCAATGAGATCTAGGAAACTGCACTTCTAAACTCTGTAGCAAGAAAGTGCTTGAGATTACAAAGTTAACTAATAGCTCTAAATCCTTCATGTTACTGAAGAGACTGGAGAATGGCAGAAGGACCTCACCAGATCTAGTTTCTGGGCCATATGTTGACAGATATAATTCTGTGTGCAGAGATTTAAAGCAGAACTGACAAACTAGACAGTTGTCACTTCTGGACAACTCTTAACTTAAAAAAAAAATAAAAAAATAAAAAAAAGAAAGGACTTTTAAAAGTCCTGAGTATCATTTTAAATTATTTTAAATTTTTATGTTTTAGAAAACTATTTTGTGGAGGTAAGTGCCAGAAGGAAGGCTGACATGGATCAGGAACATGGGAATCTCTGCATGTGCTCCTCACCATAATGGAAAATTGGGGAGGAAGAATCTTCTATTCTTTCTGTAAGTGTTATCCACAATGGAAAAGAAGTGACTGTTTTTCCTTCAAACTGCTGTCACACTAATTCACCCTCACTAAAATGTTAACTTTCTGGAGAATAAGGCATACACCATCTTGGCAAAAAATAATTCATACCAGAAAGTATGAAGAAAGTGAGAATCACAGCTTAAAAAAAAACAAACAAACAAACAAAAAACTTCTTCATTTCACCTGAATGACCTTGAAGAACCAGTTGAGCAATCAGAACATAAACATTCAAAGACTGCCATAATTTGCTCTAATAGCCTGTCACAACCAAAATCGTCCTTCAGTGGGCTGAGTGGCATATTACTAGACAACACACCCCCATCTTTCTCGCAGTGATGCCTGGTGAAGTCACACAAACATCATGACAGCGAGAGTGATGCAACGTCTCAGGAGAGCTCACGAAAAGAAAAGCACGGGAAGAAAATTTAGATTTGACTCATCATCACTGAACCCCAAGCAGTTCAACAGAAATGTGATGCTCAAAAAAATTATATGCAGGATTTAATCAAATTTCTCCTGGGGGAAAACAGCTAGAAAATATTGCACTGATTTTCTCATGCGTGTTAGGAAAGATACAGACCTGGAAAAAAACAATGTTACCAAGAGACGATTAAGGCTACACTTCATTCTACAAGGTCCTAATATAACAAAGGTATTCCACACCACTTGAATTAATTCCCTTATTTTTATATAAAGAAGTGAAAAATTAAGTTTGTTGACACATCTGAAACAACACATTTTCTGTAAGTGTCTGAGTAACACTCAAACTTACTGCACTTAACCCTGGCTACACCCCCAAAACCCATCAAGATGTCTTGTCTGTGCCACTCGCTCTCCTGCCTACACTTTTTGTGCCACAGCTGCTCTGTGCTAAGCCTTCTCTCAGGCACTTCCAGTCAGCGAGCACGCTACCACATCGCTCCGCAGCCTCCCACAGCAGCTCTGCCTCACTTCCCACCATCGCCCAAGTCTCGAGTCACACTCACTGGTGAAGACCTCCCTCCCTGCAGCCCAAGTGAAGCTCTGACTTGGGTGCTCTCCAGACACAGGCTGAGCTGTTCATCTCCTCTCCCAGGCACAGCTAAATCGGTCACAGAACTGCTGCTGGCAGATGAGTGGCACTTACAAAATCCTAAGTGATTTTCAGATAGGAAAAAAGACTTCTCCGTGCCTTCAGTTCAAGTGATAGGAAACTATTTGATTTCAATAAGTGAAAATTGAGGATCCTTCCTTGCTAACCCCAACTGATTTAAGGATAAGCCATCGTGGAAGTAAATGCTCAGGTGAGGGGAAAGAATGACGATAAACGTATGAGAGAGAGGTTCAACAGTAGGTAGCAAACTAAATCTGATGCAGGACACCTCTGGACTGGTAAGACTCGGAAAGGCACACAGAAGAAGGATTATCCTACACACCCAACATAGTTCTCCATTCATCCAGCACCAAGCATTGTCAGATAGGACAGCATGCTGGCCACATCTCTAGCACAGCAAGGTTTTGGGGTTTGTTTGCTTTAAACACTGCTCCCGAACATCATCAGTAGTGACAACAGCCTCTGCAGGAGGCATATTACAGCACTGAACAGATATTATAAC